AAACAAAAAATCCCCCCCCCCCCCGGGGGGATGGCCGCATGGCAACCCTTTCTCCTTCTTTCAGGATTCTGGGCACACACACACACACACACACACACACACACACACACACACTGTCCCTCTCTGGTCAAATTAAGATAAAAAATAAATAAAGTTAAATAAAACTGTTCTAAAATAAGAATAATAATGAGGCCAGAAAATGGCATAATGGTTATGTTGTTGGACTTACATGTGGCCGACTGCGATTTGAGTCCTGGACCTGACAGTTTGAAACTCACACCAGGCACATGTGTTTGCGTGCCCAATAATTCCGAAAGGAGAATGGAGGAGAAGGTATTGGAGTGTGACCATCGCCCCAGGGAGTGATTTCTTGCTTTCTGTCTCTCTGTCTCTTTCTCTTTGGTAAGGACACATGCCCTATAGCAAAAATCTCTCTGAAAAATTTAATTACTGGGACCAGCAGTTGGTGTAATAGCTACATTGCTGGACTCCATGTAGTTGATCACGGTTCAAGTCCTGGACTGGTGGCATGCGTGCCCAAGATCCCAAGAGAATGAAGGAGAAAGGATTGTGGTATGGCCATCCCCCCTGGGGGGTGATTTCTCACTTTCCCTTTCTCTGTTTTTCTCTGGTGAGCACACGTGCCCTATGGAAAAAAGAACAACAACAACAACAACAACAACAAATCCTCACCCCTCCAGTATCTGTCATATTCTGTTTTCTAATAACACTTAAAATATATTATCAGATGTGAGTGTACATTTTACATTTTACTTTTGAAAATCCATATTGCAGTGAGTACAATGATAAACTCTAATGGTTCTTTTAGTGCACGTAAGCTTGCCGGAAAGAGACACAGAGACAGAAAGAGTGATAAATCACCCCTCAGCAGGATGGCATGCTGTAGTCCCTTTTTTTCCATTCTCCTCTCTGGATTTTGGGTATGCACACACATGTACCTGGCACGTTTTTCAAGCTGCTGGATCCGGTACTCAAACCAGGGTCGACTATGTGAGAGTCCAGTGACATAACCATATGCCATCTGCTATATCTTCTTCCACTCTCCTATTCTTTCCACCAGTCCAAGCCTGTTAGCTCTGTAAGTCTGGGCAGGTCACATAGCTTTTTGAAGCCCCAGTTTCCTCATTTGTAACATGGGGAAAATAGTAATCTCTGTTGCATAAACCTGTGAGGATTACTTTAGATCATATATATAAAGTACTTTTACATTATTTAGCACATGACAAGCCCTAAGTGAATTGGAGAAGATGGCTTCTTTTATTTATTTTTATTTATTTATTTTAGAGATTTTTGCTATAGGGCACATGCACTAACTGGAGAGACAGAGACAGAGAGACAGCAATAAATCACCCCCTGGGGGGATGGCCACACCACAATCTCTTCTCCATTCTCCCCTCAGGATTTTGGGCATGTATGCACATGTGCCTGACATGAGTTTTAAGTTGCCGGGTCTGGGACTCGAATTGTGGTCGACTCTGTGGAAGTCCAGCGACATAACCATTATGCCATCTGCTGGTCTGAAGATGCTTCTTTGAGACCTTTTTTCCTAAAATGATGTTTGGAAAATTGGCATCAGCTCTGGTGCTGGGTCAGGGTGCTGCTGCATGACTTTGAGAAGGAAGTGGCACTTATGTGGCAACAAGACTCACGTTGGTTTTTCAAGATGAAATAATGATCATCCCCTCCCCCTGGTTTATGTTCAGCTCAAACTCCTTTACACTGTGCTTTTCCTGTCTTCCTTTACTTCTCCCAGATGAACTTCAGAAACTGGGGATCCGGTGTTTTTACCAGAACGCTCGTCTAGTGAGTTGGGCCAACGTGATATTCCTCTGCTGCCTGCCAGCTCAGCTGCCTAATATTTGCTTAGAAATTCAATCCAGCCTGGAGAAGACCTGCTTTGTGTACAGCTTCGTAGCTGCCATCCCACTCCCAAGGTATCTTGTTAGGATGAGAACAGAACAGACAGAATTGTTCTGCCTCTCCCACGGCCTCCACCATGGAGTTGGTCATTCCCAACAATAAGGAGGAAGCAGTTTTATCTACAGAAGGACTCAACCAACTTTTCTTTCTTTTTATCTTTTCTTAAAATAAAGTGTGTGTGTGTGTGTGTGTGTGTGTGTGTGTGTGTGTGTGTATGATAGAGAAAGAAAGAAAGAGAGAGAAAACCCTTTACAGGGTCTCATCAGCCCATCATCCCTTCTCCCTGGCCCCAGCTCCTCAGGACCCCAACTGCCTACGTGTGTGCCCAGTGTGTTTTCAGACTAGCCTGCAGTTATCTATGTGGCTTCCAGCACTGTAGTCCAGTGGTCTGGTCACCAGCCAACATTTCTTTTTTCTTTTCTCTCTTTTTTTTTAGATTATTTTATTTAATTTTATTATTATTATTATTATTTTATATAGGGAGATTTTTTGCTGTAGGGCACACGTGCTCACTGGAGAGACAGAAAAACCGGAAGTAAAAAATCACCTCCCAGGAAGGCTGGCCATGCTGCAATCGCTTCTCCTCCATTCTCTCAGGATTTCAGGAACGCACTCATATGCCCTCAGTGTGGGTTTTAAGCTGCCAGGTCTGGGACTTCAAACCTACATGGGAGTCCAACAATGTAACCATTACACCATCTGCTGGTCCCAGCTTTATTATTTTTAATTTGACTGGAAAGAGACAGAGAGAGGAAAAAGAGGTGAGAGGTGAGAAAGCAAGCCCCCAGTCCCGGAACCTGAACGGCAGCCCACTATGTGGGAATCCAACACCTTTAACCACCATGCCACCTGCTGACTCCATTTCTTTTTTATTTTTATTTTTTTCCTTTTTAAGTTTGCTATAGGGCGTGAATGTTCACTAGAGAGACAAAGAGAGATAGAAAGTGAGAAAGCATCCCCCAGGGAGGATGGTCACGCCACAATCCCTTCTCCATTTTCCCTCCTTTCAAGATAATTGGACACACATGCACACGCACTTGGCGTATTTTTCAAGCCAGTAGTTCCAGGGCTCCAGGGCCCAGTCGACCTTGTGGGATCCAGCAGCCATAACCACCATACCACTGGCCAGCCCTGGCCAACCTTTCTTATTGTGTCTTCCCCACTTTTCCACAAACGACACTTGTAAGACTTTTTCTTTGCTGTACAAATGTTTTAAAGTGCAATAAAACTTCGGCTGACTGGTGTCACAGTAGGTGGGACAGCTGGATCCCACAGGGCCTTCTGCAAGGTTGGAGTTCGAGATATGGCAGCTTGAGAAATATGCTGGGCGTGTGTGTGTGTGTGTGTGTGTGCGCGCGTGTGGTCCAAAATTCCAAGGGGAGAATGGAGAAGAGGGGATGTAGCATGGCTATCCCCTCAAGAGTGAGTGATTTTTACTTTCTCTGTCTCTCTCTTTCTGTCTCTCTCCAGCAAGCACGCTGCCCCATGGAAAAACTGAAAAAGGAAAAAAAAAAAAAAAAGACAATAAAACATTATCTCCTACTACCTCAAACTGAATGGTATTCCTGTTCAGCTCAATGGGGAAAGAAGGCATCAGTCAGTCATGTGAAAAGTTTCTGAATGCATGTGTCAGATACTGCTTTTGCATCCCCCATGTCCAGCTAGCGCCTGGCATATGATGACCTTCAATGTGTGCTTGTTAGGTGGAGGGATGAACAATCCAGTTAATCAGTGCCCTCAGCGCACACCAGCCCACGTGTGCCTCTGAGCAGTGCTGCCTGGGGAGTCTGTGGCTGGGATCGGGTGGGAATGTGAGGGATCACATGGTTACTTATTCCAGGCCTGATGCCACCCTCCCTGTCTCCATGGCTTTCCTTCCAGGTTGAAACTACTGC